AAGTATAAAAGTGATAAGTAAAAGGGAGAGAAGATGTAAACGATATATTTATGGAGGTTCGATCCCAAACTTGTTATACGTCCCCTGTTATCGAGCTCTCCATCACGATCAAGGCCTTTTCCACTATTGTAATTGACTTATGGTGCAATTCAACAGTTTACAACGCTTCTAGTGACTTTCAAATAAGGAGCACCGATCATTTTGCAATATTGAACTTGACGGGACCTCAACGCGACCCAAACAATTGAGCTTTATGAGATCTCAATATAACCTTCGATTCAAAAGAGTTTTACGAGTGAAATCTTCTCTTCTTAATGAATAATAGATATAAAGTTGAGAATAAGAAGAGAAGAGGGCATACACTTTAATACATAGCAATGAATATAGTTCAAGTGTTGAATTTGAAAAACTTTGATGAAATTTCTTTTCTAGGTTTAGAATAATCAAATGTTTTTCAAATTAAATCAATTTATACGGATGAGTAAACAGTAAAGACCAATGATTTATCTCAATAAATGCTCAATTATTTGCTCTTAGGATGGTTAATATAGAATGCAAAGTGAGTTGGTATATATAGGTGGAAAATCGTCAAAAACTCTGTCAAACTGGATGCAGTGTACCGGACATCCGCCACATACCGGACTGTCAACTAGCCATTTTGTCAGAAAATCAGAACGGTTGAATTTTTGACCGTTGGTCTAAAACCACCATACCGAACGTCCAGTACAACAGTTTTATGCCGGAACGTCCTCGTTTTAGTTTTTATCAAATGTAAGTACTTGGGGGACGTTTTGAAAATATTTTTCAAGGTAAGTGATATTTTCAAATATAAGTTTGAGATTTTTAGCTTTTGAAAAATAATATTTATGTAAACATTTTTGTATCATGATTTTTCGTGCGTAAAATCGATTTTGAGCATGTTATGGTTCATTACCACGTACTAAAGTGTTTTACCTTTACATATGAGTGTAAATAGTCTAAGCGCTTCGCTTTGAACATCTTGACGTACATGCTTGACTGTACTTCGATTTTTATCTCGATTCTTGTTGAGGCATCTTCTTGCGATTTTTTCAATATCAATCTTCATAACCTCGTTTGATCAATTNATTTTGTTTTCTCGTCGAGTGTTGTATGCAAATTACTTGGCTTTGAACCTCGTGTCTTCAATTTTATTGATTTGCAATAACCACTATAGACACTCGAAATCAATTTGTTAGAAATAAACGTAATTTATTTGTGATAATCAAAACGAGACGTCAACCATAGGTCAACAATTTTCCCATTTTTTATTATGATAAACAAGATGATTTGTAATGTACAATTTAAACAAATTGATAAGGGATAAAGTTGCACACATATATTTCCCCTATCATTTTCACTTATATTCACTCTTTCAACATTCCCTTTATCATGCATAATCATCTAACCCATTTTTCCCCTTTTGGCATAAGCAAAAAGTGTAGAAATAATAACCAATTAGACAGTTATAAAGATTCAGAAACCAAGAATATTTCATTAAAAACATAAGGCATTTCATGCATATATTTTGATCATAATTATGCAATACATAGTCAAGAGAAAGCTATTGTGCTGGAGGAGAAGGATGATGCGAGAATCGACCAAAGAAGGTGGTCTACTAGGCCTGCATCT